TTGCGGGCACATCCCCAGTGGGAGGTGTGCGGGAGGCAGCTGATCGATGTTTCTCTCTCATCGATGTTTCTAGCTCTCTATCTCTCTCCCTTCCTCTCTGTAAAAAAATCAATAAAATATATTTTAAAAATATATATTTCTTTATTGATTTCAGAGAGAAAGGGAGAAGGAGAGATAGAAACACCAATGATGAAAGAGAATCATTGATCGGCTGCCTCCTGCACACCCCCCAGTGGGGATGGAGCCCGCAACCCAGGCATGTACCCTTGGCCGGAATTGAACCTGGGACCCTTCAGTCCGCAGGCTGACGCTTTATCCACTGAGCCAAGCCGGATAGGGCGGGAACCTGTATTTTTAACACATGTTCCAGGCAATTCTCTATTTAATTAGGTTGCATCTGTCTTTACTATCCCCAGCAACCAAGGTCAAATGCAGATAGGTGATCAAGATTAGCTTTTGATGAATACCTCTAACACTGTGTATCTAGCGCTTGGCTCCCTATATCCAGACTTCCTAAGTGATGTCTTGGTCTTATCTCAAACACAACCTCAAAACATTTCAAGTATGTTCAATACAGAATAAGCCTGGACACTCAAAACATTCCCCATGGTCCCCCATAAAACACAGCTCTTTAGAATGCGCTGTTACCACCCCATCCCAATTAAAGAATGGAAGGGAAGCCTGATCAGGGGACAATATAGAGGGAGAGCTGTGGGACTGGTGGAGGAAGTAAGCAAATTGAATTCATAGGAGCCAGAGGGGGTAGAGTTAAAGAGGTAAGCAGGGGCTTAGTCACCCAGGCCTTATGGAGTAGCTGAGGAGTTTGAAATTTACCCCCAGGGCACTGGGGAGCAATCCTAGGGCTTGAAGCAGGGGAATTTTGAGATCACATCTCTGCTCTCGAAAGGTCACTCAGGCAGTCATGTGGAGGCAAGAAGTTGTGATGACTCCGAAGCTGTGGTCAGAAGTGATAGGGACGTGGGCCAGGATGGAGGCAGTGGGGATGGAGAGGTTAGCATGAAGAGATGTTTTGAAGGCAGAATAGACAGGATTTGGAGATTCACAGGATGTGGGAGATGAAAGAATGAAGCCCAGGTTTCTGGCCTGGGTGATGGATGGATGGTAGTATCTTTTATTGAAAATGGGGAGCCACAGAGAACCAGGTTGGGAGGAGAATGATAAAACCCATAAGGGTGGCGTGGGAGCCATCCAGGAGGAAGTATCCGGAAAGAAGCGAGAAGAGAAGGCTGTAAGCTAGAGGCAGAAGCTTGAAAGTCATCTATGTTTTACTGTGAAGTCTTGTATGACTACTGTACAGTGACCAATTTTTGTTCCTCCCACACCTGTAGTCCTTTACTTGCCTTATGCTCATGAGGTTTAGTGTGGCCTCCCCAGACTAATATAAGGCACTTACTAATAAGCACATTACCTATCTCTAGTATTATCTTGCCTCAAGCATAGACCTGGGTGTCAGTTTTTTCAGGACATACTTATAGATTGTCATCACTCCAAATACCTCTGCTATCTGCCCCCCAAGTGCCTGAAATTTCCATCATTAAAGCCAATCCTTTGGGTTAAGACAGTAGTGTCCAACTTGTTTTAGGGATAGAAACCTTTTTTCTCCCTGAATAAATCACATAAAATTTGGAGAAGTAGGGAAAGATGGGTGAGCAGAGGCCCGGAGCCTGTCTTGCTAGACCTCCCTTCCCTTCCTTTCCCAAAGCGGCCCCTGACCTAAAGAACCATCTCCAGAGCATGGCTAGAAATGTATCTGACAGAGTGAGGACCTCTGAGCAGCCAGGTGGGGCCAAGGTCTGATATTCATTCTGGTTTTGCCAACAAGTTATTGGATGACTCTGAGCAAGTATTCATTTCTTGAGTTTGGGACAAAACTGTCTGGCTCTTCAAATACTGTTGTGAGCATCAATTAAAAGGGCAGGCATGGCTCAGTGGTTTGGCTCAGTGGATAGAGCATCGGCCTGCGAACTGAAAGGTCCCAGGTTTGATTCCCGTCAAGGGCACATGCCCAGGTTGTGGGCTTGATCCCCAGTGGGGGACTTGCAGGAGGCAGCCGATCCATGATTCTCTCTCATCGTGGATGTTTCTATCTCTCTCTCCCTCTCCCTTCCTATCTGAAATCAATAAAAATATATTTTTTAAAAAGGGCGGGCATGAAAAGGTGTTTTGCAAAATAAGATAAAGAATAATCAACGCATATCTGAAAAATGTAGATAAGAGCACACACAACAAAAGTAACCTACTTCCCAAATGTGGAATATAGGTCTAGGTAAAATCCTTTAAACTTTAGAAAGCAGTTATCTGAGCTGAGAGGTAAAAAATAAATACGGCTTTTACAGGGGTCTGAAGAAAGCAGACATCAGGTAAGGAAAAAAAATTCCTGTGATCTGGGTAGGAGATGATGTAGAAGGGCAGGTCTTTAAAGTGGTTGGCCTTGCCCTAGCCAGTTTGCTCAGTGGTTAGAGTGTTGACTGAAGGGTCACCAGTCAACAGGCAAGTACCTCAGTTGCAGGCTTGATCCCTGGCCCTGGTCAGGATACGTGCAGGAGATAACCAATCAATGTGTCTCTCTCACATTGATATTTCTCTCTCTGTGTCTCTCCCCCTCCCTTCCACTCTCTCAAAATCAATGGAAAAATATCCTCAGTGAGGATTAACAACAAAAATAATAATAAAATGGTTGGCCTTAACAGTTGATAATGAAAGCTTTCCAAATGTCTCATAAGGTTTAGCACCAATACTCTGCAGCCTCGTCAAATGCTGTGGGATGACTTGCTGTCCCCCTAATACTCTTGTGTCCTTTTATGCCCTTGATTATGACTTCACCTTATATTCCATCCAGCTGAAATGAGATATTCCTAGGGAATGAATTGCTCCTTTATCTATGAGTCCATTTTACCCCATTATAACTATTGCATTAAATTTTTTTGTTGTTTCCTAACCATTTAAACTTTGAATTCAAGGGCAGAAAACACATCTTGGGTCATCTTTATATCCCCAGGGCCTAGAACAGGGAGTAGAACACAGTGCTCAATAAATGCTGAGTTAAATTCTATCTCACACATGTCCCCAAGAGATACAGAGGCATCGGGCGTATTGAGGTGTAACTTTAGGTCTTATCCCCAAAGTGGGCAGGAAGATTCTAGCCCACTATTACTTCATCTCTCCTTCATTTGATTCTCTTGCTTAAAGAGTTACAAAGAAACCCACAAACGATTATGACTATTGCAAGCTTTATGAGGCAACTTGTGGGAGCCAAGGAAGATCTTGGAAATAGAATTGTTCTCCTGAGAATTTTAGCACAAAGTACACCTTCCCCAGAAAGAATGGCTCCCAGGCCAAGGAAAGCCTGTCAGTAACTAATTCTATTAATTAATCTAGAAAGATCATATCTTTCAGAAGTGGATTTGGGAGTGAGGGTAGGTAAGAAGCATAAAAATAAAATAAATTATAACCACAGTGTATATTTACTGTATGATTACTGGTGCCTAGGTCTATACAAAAAGCTTTACTTGCATTGTCTCATTTAATTCTTACCACTGTGTGAAATACAATTCTCATCCTACCATATAGAGAAGAAACCTGCAGTTGAGTTGTTACTAATTCACCCAAGATCACACAGCTAATAAGAATTCAAGCCCTAGCTGGTTTGGCTCAGTGGATAGAGTGTCAGCCTGCAGACTGAAGGGTCCCAGGTTTGATTACGGTCAAGGGCACATGCCTGGGTTATGGGCTCGATACCCAGCAGGGGGCGTGCAGGAAGCAGCAAATCAGATACTCATCATTAATGTTTCTATCTCTCTCTCCCTCTCCCTTCCTCTCTGAAATCAATAAAAACTTTAAAAAAAAAAAAAAAAAAGGAGCCAAGACAAGACTCCAATGCCTGACAATCTGACTCCAGCATCCAGAGAGGGTGATATTAAACATTTCAGTTATATAACGAACATCTCTTAATCTAATTAACCATTCATCAATGCTTTCTAGTAACATGGCTTCCCAGGAGGCTTTCCAGTAGAGAGAGAACACCCCTTTTGCCAGCACAAAATCACTAGTCCACTTGCCAGTCAAATGGCACTCTGCTCATTCACCAAGTTCCTGTAAACCTGACAAGTCCCTGAGGAAGGAACCCACTTCCAGGATACAGGCTACATTTCTGATCCTAACTGTGAGGCTGAAGATCCTGGAAGGTGGTGACTGCACCAATGCCATGTGATGAGCTGACAGCCTTCTGCTGATAATGCCCTGAACTCCTATGGGCTACAAACCTAAGAAACAGTCCACAGGAAGAACATGTCCTTAGATCACCAAGTGGCTTTAAGTCACCGAAGTTCTCACCGGTGCGGCAGTCTGCTGTAGTACTGCAGGACACAAACCTGTCCTTATTTTTATCATCCTGTTTCGCAGGTTCCATCACATTACTTTTCCCTCTCAGCTTGTTTTTGTCCAGCCTGAAACATCCTATCCTTCCAGTTTGGCTTTCTGTTCCTTGGTGATTCCTATAGGACACATCACAATTTCTTACAAGGCGAAGAAAACACTTCCTTTTGTTCCTTC